AAACTTATATGTTTATCCATATAAGTAATTATTAGCATACAATCTTAGTTAATGCTTGCCTAAGCAAATTTATTTTTTTAAATTACAAAAAACTAATATAATGCTTACAAAAATTAAAAAATTTATATAAGAAATATTAAAAATATTGTTTGATTTTAGATTAAAATATATATTAATCTTAATCAATGTGAATATATTAAATATACAATAAGAATGTTTCTCCAACATTATTCCAAAAATATTATAATAACAGAACATTATGTTTAATATGTTGGTCATTGGGAAACACCCTTCCCTTTGGCATGAAAAGTGAATTCCCATGTCACTAAATTTTTTGCTTATATATTTTCTCTTTTGTGATAAAGAAAATGTGATAAAAAAAAGAGGCCAACCTTCTTGTTTAATTTCAAAACATGGTATTCAGTTTCCTGGAATTCATTATTCTCTCTGTTTTATGCACAACTTCCCTTGTCTAAGAAGAAATATTAAGAAACTTGATTTCTTCGGTATATAAAACCCTCCCATTCAAAATCAATATAGTTATCAATATGTTGTTGGTTATCACCTTAGTTGGAATATTAGTTATATGTTTAAGATCTATAGAAACTATAATATTGGATTTTACAATATAAACTTATAAAAATATAAAATTATAGTCCATGTATACTCGCTATAGGTCATCCAAAGGGAAGAGGGTTTTCATTTGACCAATTTTGAAAACATGATTTTTTGTTGTGTAGTTATTTTTAGGTTAATGTTTGAGCAAAGTTCTTATAGATGATTGAAACTATTCTTATTCAATTGAATTATATTTCAATCTAAAGTCAAATAATTTTTTTAATAATTCTTATTTAAATATTTATTTTATATAAGTATTAAACATATTTTCATAGGTTAACTTTAACTAAGGTGGTAATACAAATAATTACTTGTGTGTATAAACATATAAGTTGAGGTACAATCTAGTAAGCAACCTCACCGAATAAAAAAAAACAATATACCTAAAAATCATATAAATGTAATATTAGTTCAATAATTATAAGTGAACTAAACCATGAATATTAAATAAGTTAAATAAATTAAAAGTTATAATGGTAAGAATTTTAGTGATGGCTTAAGTTAGGTTAGGTCTAAGCTAGATTTAGCTTTAAGTCTAAATTGAGATAGAATTATGTTTAATTTTTGTTTAGTTTAGGTTAAGTTGGATTTAAGTCTAGTGTAGGCTTGATTTAGATTTATATAAACTAGATTTAATGTTTAATTTGGGTTTTGGTTTATGTTATTTTATTTTTATTTTAAAGCATAATTTAATTTGTGACTAGTTTTAAGTAGGCTTATACTTGATTTAGTTCTAGAATACACAAAAATAACAAATCTTTATCCCTTTAAGTGAGGTCAGCAACATGAATCTTTTTTCTCCATTGTGTCCTTTTAAATGTCATGTTTTTATTTAGTTTTAACCAATTAAGATTATTTTTATACAGCAAGCCAAAGTAGATTTCAGTTTAGAACATAAATGTTAAATTTATATTACACTTGGTATAAACTAGGTAATTATCTAGTTCTAATAACTTTCAATGAACTAAACCCTAAAAATAATAAATAATTAAGAAAAAGATTTTACAATGGTCACAATTTAAGTGGTGGTTTAGCTTAAGTTAAGTTTAAACTGGAATCAGTTTTATTTCTAGATTTCGATAGGTTTAAACTTATTTTAGGTTTAATTTAGGTTAACTTTAGCTAGACTCAAGTTTAATATAGGCTTCGTGTAAGTTTCCTTAAGCTAGATTTTAATGTTTACTTTGGGTTTTGGTGTAGGTTAATTTAGTTCTAGTTTTGGATTAGATTTATTTAATGTCTAATTAGGTCTAGGCTTAAATTATGTCTAGATTAGGTTAAATTCAGATTAATTGTTGTTTATATTAGATTGAGCTAATTATATATTTTGTTATATATTGTGCAAGATTTAATAACTTTTGAGTGTACTAAACCTTAAACATAACAAAAAGAAAACAAACTAATTAATATAATAAATTTTATAATTTAATTTGTGGTTTAACTTAGGTTAGTAGGTTGAGGCAATTGGATTTAGTTTTTGGTATAGATTGAGTTATGTTTAAGTTTAATTTGAACTTGGTTTAGATTAAATGAACTTAGATTTAAGTTTAAGGTGGACTTGCATTAGATTTACTTAAGATTGATAAAAGTTTCATTTCTCTTTTGGTATAGGTTAGTTTTATTTTAGCTCTTAATTAGATTTAATTTGCTAGGTCAGGTTAATTTATTTAAATCTTTAATCATCTTTAACTAGTTTTGGGCTTGATTTAAGTTTAGATTATGTTAAATTCAGATTATATTTGGTTTAAATTAGGTCGAGCTAACTTTACATTTATTTTGATTTTGTGACTTCATTAACTCCAACTAAATTTAACTTTAATTATGCTTTAAGCCTACTATAATTTTTAAATTATAATAGGCTTAAAATAAAAGTAAAAAACACACTCTAATATTTTATTTATATTTTCTAATTATAACTTACTAAAACATAAAAATTATAAATAAATTGTACATTACATCAAAATTACAATTATAAATTATAAATAAAATTTTACTAGTTTGAATATTCAACACACAAAGAAATTATTTACTTCTATGAAACTCCCAAATTAATGTTCCTTGAACTTGAATGTACTCATAATTTGATAGCGAGGTAGCAAGAGAGAGTGAGTGAGGAGGAATAGTGGAGATGGGAAAGGAGGAAGGGAAAAGGAATGGGGAAGAGATAGAGAGGGAGAGAGTAGGGCTTATGACGAATTAGAGAAGCCGTAGGGTGAATGTTTTGAACTCAGATGTGGGTGTGAGGGTGTTTATATAGCCATTGTCAGGTGTCCAGTTATAAAAAAAAATTAATAAAATAGCACCACATTCGACAGATTTATTGAAATGGTGTCTATGGGATAATTTTTTCCTTTTTAGAATTTATTTTAAATTATCTTTCCTAATAAATATTGTTTTAAATGTGGTGTATTTTAAAATTTTTCCCTTTCGTGTTAATTTAACAAAAAAGCTTCGAGGACTCTCTTGGATACTTACTCTTCTTAGAATTATAGAGTTAATTTCAAAAAAAAACTACACCCAAAGATATATATATATATATATAAGAATCGGTATATGACAGAGGCCAAAATACCTATTCCTTATGTGCTAGGCTCTAACTTAAAAAGGATTAGTTGAACGGGTGACTCTTCAACCAATCCCCATGTCCAAATTTGATTCATGTCTGGTCGAGGATTCGAAATAGGGTTGAGAGGGGACTTACACCACCAACTCAACTACACCTGATGCGCGCGCGAGCACACACACACACACACACACACACACACACACACACACACACACACACACACACACACACACACACACAAAGAAAAACATGATAAAGAATGAACACACACACACACACACACACACACACACACACACACACACACACACACATATAATGAAAAACATGATAAAGAATGAATGTAGTCACTGAAAAATAAATAATTCAAGAGAGAAGAAGTATCAGCTATTTTAGCTGATTAAAAATTTAATATTCCTAGATAACTTTTATAATTTGACACAGATCATTAGCAAAAGAAAATTTAACTAAGGAGATGAAAACCAAAGGTTAAGATGCAGAGGAGAGGGGGGAGTGATGAGCTGAACAAAGAGGCAACGTTATATTTTCAGGTATAAAACTATAATAGCGAAGCGCCAATAACATAAAGATAATACTGATAAAAAATGTAGCTAAATAGTAGCAATCTTCGAAGGTGATTAAAAGATAAACCATCTTTAACACATGACCTTCGTGGTATATATGCCAGCCCTAGTTAACATTGTAATCACTATGGATGATTTTGGTTTGTTGCCGCCACCTCCATTATTATTGCCCACCAACAACAACAACAACCATCATCACATAAATAAATAAAAATAGCATATGTTTAAAATATGATATGACATAAATAAATAAAAATAACATTTGTTTAAAATATGATATGTGTTTTCATTCAAAAAAAATATTAAAAGAAGCAAAAGAAATAAATTAAAATAAAAGTGGTCCAAAATATTTAGCTTCTAATTAGGATGAAGAAGTATTATTAAAAAATTTTCCCTTTCTCAATTCTCATATCTTATTTTGTTTCCATAATGTGATGTTTATTTCAACTAGATGTGACTAAAACTATTTCAAAATTAAATTTCAATATTCGATCAATTAAAATTGAATAGAAGTGAGCAATTTCTAATTTCAAAACTCGCCCTCCAAAAATTAAGAAGAAAATTCCATTTCAAGGTTAGAAGAAACATCATTGAAAGTTAAGCTTTAAGGATGCTACCATAAGACAAATATATGTCATTGAAACTCCAAAATAACTTAAAACTACTTTAAAATAGCATACTTAATATAAAAAGCATTGAAATAATACTTATATATATTTCAAAAAAAGAAAAGTAATAATCATATATTAAATTTTAGCATTGGCAAAATTCATGGCAATATATGATGATCACTTGCCATGAATTTGAACAGTCCAAAATTAAAACTTGTGTTGATTGATTGTTTCATGATAAGATTATCAGTAAGGATTTAGTGTTCATTTGAAGAGATAGTTAAAAAGGTAATTGAAAAATAAAACCAAAAAAAGGGATTGAACTTAAATTTTGATCACCTACTTGATTCAGCAAAATTTGAGTTTATTTTTAAATTGAGATCTCATTTCATGTGAACATAATATGTGTTAAGTCCTAAAAATTACATAATACTTGTTCCTCCCCATTTTTGCTAAGATAAAGATAAATAATATGTCAATAAAAAACAAATATATATACTTTTCCTAGACCAAATACTTCTAAATGAAACAGAGCCCATAAATTTTTTCCTCCAAAACCAGAGTGCCTTAAACAAACTTCTAACCCACACACTCTCACTCTCTCTCCCCCCCATATCATTTGTATCCCTTAAAAAAACGGATCATAATAAGATCATAAAAGAAAAAGCAAAACTCCATCATGACGATTCTGAGGCTTCCTTTTAAACGAATTTCGATTCCCCTCGCCCACCTTCTTTCTTTCACATGGCCTCCCCATTTCCACTCCTCGCAACAAACTTCCTCCACGCTATCTCATCTCCCTCCCTCTCCCTCTCCTCTGGTCAGGTAGGTACTCTTCTAAAAGGCTTCTGAAACAAACCAGGAATAAAAATCTCTCCTTTTCACTCTATCCCACTCACCCTCCTTACCACCCTCCCTCTCACAAAGAGGACCACTGGTGTGGTGTGGTCCTCCATCTACAATAGCAACGCTTCGATCTCCACATCTCCCTTCGTCCAAGATGATGCGAGGAGATCCCCACCAAGTGCATGGTATGCATATGTCCGCAGCTGCTGCAGTAGGTGAGTGCTCCACTTCAGCGCCACCTTCCGCCGCTGCAGAGGAAGAGCACCGTCGTCTTCTGAAAGCAGAGATTTCCGTTCACCCTCTGTTAGAACAGCTTCTGTCAGCCCACGTCGGCTGCCTCCGCGTCGCCACCCCCATCGACCAACTCCCCCTCATCGACGCCCAGCTCTCACAATCCCACCACCTCCTCCGCTCCTACGCCGCCATCCACCGCCCCCTTCTTTCCCCGCCGGAAAAGCACGACCTCGACAATTTCCTCGTTAGTCTTCTCTTCTTTTTTTATAAATTAATTTTTCGACAATATAAAATTTCTCTCATAATTCATGGAAATTAATTCATCGTATCTACTTGTGGATGAAGACGCAGTATACGCTGCTGCTGTGCTCGTTCAAGGAACAGCTGCAACAACACGTAAGAGTGCACGCAGTGGAGGCCGTCATGGCTTGCCGCGAGATCGAGCAATCGCTTCATGAGCTGACTGGTACTGAATCATACCCTCATCCATCTACCTCTAATTATTTCTTAACCTTATCTTATTTATTTCTTTGAGCTAATTTGGTTAGGATTTATTAAAATTCTCTTAAATTTTTTGTGATGATGAGTTGAGTAATAGACGAAAGGTGTGCAGTGTAAAAATTGGGTAGATTTATTTCCAATTTCCTAGCTTTGCAGTGGTTTAGTGGATTGAGGGGACCCAACGTGAGATGTTGGTTAAGTTAGGTGGGTGGAGTTGGCGACAAGAAAAAGCATCGTCACGTTTCTTCTGTCACACTTGCATGGCAATATATCGATCGACTGGATAGCAGTATGGAGTTTTGTAGGCGGATTTAATTACTTCAATACTGGTTTTGTAGTCTTTCTTAGCACAATATGCATAAAGCAAGATATCACTATGTTTTCCCTTTAGAGATAATGCATGAGCGCAACAAAAAATCATGAAGCCTTTTGAACGAATATGGCTTACAATCTCCTAAATTGATATATTTTTTAAGATGACATATAGGTATACGTAACATAACTTAAGTCCTACATTTCACTCATGGAGGATTTAATGATGAGAATATTTCAATTGATTAGGACAGCTTGAGCTGATTTTTATTGAATTTATATTATGGTTGGTTAATGAACAACTATCAGTATATTTTCATTTGAATTTGGACCAGGAATTCTGAGCTTTGTTTTTCGATATCGGATTACTTAATTAGAAAATTAAACCTAATCTTATCTATCTAACAACCGGTGGTTGAATTCTTAATTATTAATTCCTTGTATTTAGTTATGCTGCTGCTACCAAGAGGCAGCTGTGAATGATATGAAGCCATCATCATTTAAAGTAAGGGAACAACCATATAACCATCAATCTTCAAGGACCTTGAGATCAATTAATGAAGGATGGCTGATTATTTGAATGAAACAGTTCTTTTCTACGTCATGAATATTATTTTCTTCTCTTAAGACAACGATAAAAGAAATTATTGAATCCTTTTGAACAAATAACGCTTTACTACTATTAATTTGATTCCTTATTCCATTATAATATTCTCCTAATGTATATATAGAATGGGTTATAGTACTTACGAATCCAACAAAGCTGGCCTCACGGTTTAATAACTTGCTAGCAATGATTCGCTGAAAGAGTTTTTTATCTTGTGTGTTTCTGTGCTTCTAGCTCTAGCTTGTACGGAACTGAACTTGAGACTTTGATTCTCTCTCTCTCTCTCTCTTTTCCCAGACGAATTTTATAAGAAATACTATCCCTTTCCATTCCTAGAGCTAGCTAGCTGCTGTCTGTTAAGGCAATTCTAGCAATCCATGATGAGAAACTACAAATGTATGTTGCTTTATGTCTTACATTTGATCGAGAGTTATGTGCTCTTCACTAAGGATAAACACAATTTTAGTTTCTTTGTGCATTGAATCTAATCATTGAGTTTTCTTTTAATTTCGTGTTAATACTAATACAAAATAATTTAGATAAATAAAAAACACAAGGCAGAAAATAAAAGTACATCATTGAAGATCTAAGATTGCAAATTGGAAGCTTTTGAATTTGCCAGCACTCAGTGCACAGTGAAGCTAAAACTGGTTGTATTTGGCTTATCATACTAATTTGAACCTTTTTTTTTTTTTGACACATGCATGAAAGTGATGACACATGCATGAAAGTGAATAA